CAGATTTTCTAAAATGTGAATTCCCACCTTTGTACCTGAGGCAGCAGCACTGGACACCCCAAAGTGGGTTTTTTTGGCATTTTTCCATCACTTTTCCAACTTGGGATCTGACAGTTTGGTAAATACTCACTCCAGCCTCCCTGGGTGGGTGCTGAGCTCGGGTTTGCGCTCTCTGCCTCCAGAGAGGTTTGGGCTGTGAGTCAGCAGTCAAGGTCAGGGCTTGCATTTTCTGCAACGTGGCAGAAAATGGGTTTAAAGACACCCCAGGCCGAGCTGGGGCTTCCAGAGCAAATCAGAGCACCCACAAAATCCACAAAAACGTGGAGGGGATTCTCCCCCTGGGGCTGCAGCAGGAGAATCTGAGCTGCCACAGCCGATCCTGGGTGGAGCTGAGGCTCCTCCTGCTCCCTGGATCCTCATTTTCTTTGCCACGTGTGGAAACCCAGGGCACCGGGAATATTTATTGGGATAAAAGGGAAAACAACCTAGGTGCCAGGTTTTAATTGGATGGTTTAGCTGTAAAAGACCTTGTAACAAGAGGCTTTTGGCCATTTTTGTGGTGCTTTTCCAGTGTGCTGAGCCTGGTGTGGACAGCACGCAAAACTCTAGAGAAGATAACAATAAACAAGAACCTGAAGTCTGAAAAAATCCAGTGCATCTCTCTTTCCTGACACAGAACCACCCCAGGAGGGTCTCCCCGACAGGGCAGCCCCAGGGAGGGCCCAGCCTGATCCCAGAAGTTGGGGAGTCACCAACAGGTACCCCACAGCCATGTGTGATGCTGCCTGACCCCTGACAATATTCTGGTCATGCCACAAGCCCAGCTTGGCTGGATCTTGGATCCAGATCAGAGCAGGGATCTCTGAGCTCTGATCTCTGATCTCTGCTGGGATCTAATCAGGCACCAGCAGCTGAGGCAGCCGTTGGCTCTGCGTTTCCTCTGCCTGATAGATAATTCCACTTTGCAGATTCCCGTGGTGGCTCAGCCCTGCCAAATCTGGCCCTGTTTCAGAAAATGATCCCTTGTTTTTTTAGCCCAGGACTGGATCTAGTTGAACCATCAGTGTAAATAAGGCCAGGCTCTTGTTTGGGCTCCCTGCACTCTGAGTTCCTGGTGGAGCCAGTCCTGCACAGCAGGAGCTGAGGAGATAAAGGTCTGAGAGTGAAAATGAGTGAAAATGAGTGAAAATGAGTGAAAATTCCTCTCTGGAGAGGCAGAGCAGAGCTGCAGCTCCAACCCACGGCTGCTTTCCACCGAGGGACACAGGGCCTGCCTGGAATTTCAAGGGATTTTTTGCCATAAAGATTCCTTTACCAACAAGTCACCCCCAGAGTTTGATGAAATCTGGGGTGGGGAGGTTTGCTCCCAGGAAAAAGGGACAGGACAAGGGGAAACAGCCCCAGAGGTCTCATGGAAAGGATGCTCAGGCCTTGGAAGTGCCCAGGGAGGTTTGGAGTGCCCATCCCTGGGTGTCCCAGCAATTCCTGGATGTGGCACTGAGTGCTCGGGGCTGGGGATTGGGCACAGCTTGGATTTGGTGACCCTGGAGGGATTTTTCCCACCTAAATAATTCTAATTTTCCCACCTAAATAATTCTGTGATCCACAGCAAACCCTGTGTAAGAGACTTCAGTCTTCTCTACTGGTATGAACTAAAAAATGCTCATTTATCTCGTGATTTTTGGGGGGAATTAGGCTTTCTGTGGCCTCCCTCCCCACGTCCTGGTGCTGGTGCAGATGACCCCAGAGCTGTCACTCCCCCTTGGCCTGTGCCACCCTCTCAGGGACATCCAGGAGCGTCCAGGCTATAATTTCTGCTTCCAAACTGCCTCAACCAACATCACCCAGTGACTCAGAGCCCGGAATAGAAGACTGGAAACTGAAATTCAGGCTGCTCCTCTGACCACTGAGACCTGCAGTGCCCAGCTCTGTGTGGGCACAACGTCTGGGAGTCCAGCTTGGGAGACTCATTTGCTCCAGTGCTAAAGAGGGAGGAAAATAGGGAAAAAAACCCCCAAAAAACAAAACAAAACAAAAAAACCCCAGCACTAATAGCTATTTAATTGCTTGTGAACGTCTCTGACTAAAAAACAGGGGCAGCTCTCCCCACCCAAATTTGGATTCTGGCCCTTTCCCAGCTGAAGTCATAGCCCAGCTCTCCAGCGTTTTTTTTGTTGGGTTTGGGGTTTTTTATTAGCGAGTTCCTATCAGCATCTGGACTGCCAAAAATGCCTTTTTTCCCCCCAGGAAACAGCAGTGTGGTTTCTCCTCATCAGCCACCCCAGCGAGTGAGTTCTCATCAGCTCCTCTGCTGACAACAAATGCAGGTGCTCCTCTGCTTTTTTCTGTGCAGGGCGAGTCCTTCCAGCAAACTTGGGGAGGGAACAGCTGTTTCCAGTGAAAAAAAAACCACCATCCTGCTGACCCAAGCTGAAATGTGACGTGGAAATGGGATTTTTGACCTTGAGAGCTCCAAAGTTGCTCCAAAGGAGGGATCCTGTGAAGATTAAAAATAACGAATCTTTGTAACGCTTCTGCAGCTCGCAGAGCTGCGTGAATTCATCCCAAAGCAGAGGGCCAAAGCTTTAAATAGCACGAGGTTTTGATGACTTTTTGAAGTTTTCAGCTGAAGAACTCGCCCCAGCACTCACAAACATTCATTTAGGAACAGCTGCTTTTCTCAGCTGCATTCTTGTCTCATTTTTCCTCTCGTTTTGTTCACTCACACACACAAAATAAGATTCTTGTTGCTGCAGATGTTCAGGGCAGGCTGCTCTGGTGGAGGGTTCTCATCTCCAAGGCTGTGTGGATGAACAGAACGTTGGTTTTTCCTCACTTTAGGGCTCAGTTTAGCCCCTGTTTTTCGAGTTGGGTGCTGATATAAATCTCTGTATACAGTCTCTCTGTATAAATGTTATAAATGTATATATTTTGTGTCCCTGTCCCTCGCACGCCATGTGGGTTTAAGCACTCATCCACCATGAATAATGTCCGGGGCCAGGTCACAAACTTCCCATAGCGGGGGCCCTATTTGCATCCACTCCAGGCCATTGCAGAGAACCAGCAGCTCAGAAAAGCCAAACAAACCCAGAAACTGCTCCTGCTGCGGGCAATGCTCCAGCAGGAAGGGGGGAAGAGAAAAGGGGAATTTTTTTAAAGAAAGGCCGGGTATTTGGGGTGGGTGGTCCTGTGGGATGGGGCTGGTGGGGCTGATGACAGCAGTGAGGGAATGGGGCTGAGGGGAAGGGGGCTGAGGAAACGGGGCTGAGGGGAATGGGGCTGTGGGAAAGGGGCTGTGGGA